TGAGCATTGATGACCCCCTTCCCTTATACTAACCCATGTTAACAGTTACTAACTTGTTGAAAATGCACTTGCATATTCCATTGTTTTATGCTGATTTATCCTCCTTCACGCTCATTGCCCCCTCTGCATCCTAGCATGTTGCTTCCAATCCCCACAACTGTGACTGCCTAACTTGCCCCCACCTTGACTTTCAGCATACATAACCCGAGGGCTGACCAAGGACCACCCCCTGACTGACTTGGAAGGACAGCCCCAACTGATGAATGACCAGAGCCCTGACTGGTCTTTGTGCAGCTCCCTGACGGACTTCCGCGATTCCCCGATACCCCAGATGGCTGCTCTGGACCTGCAGGGCTGACTATGGCCCACTCATTAGACTTAATGACGCAGAATCTCTCAACCTGAACACCCCAAGTGGCTGACGGACCATGTCCAAACTCTGGAAATGTTCTTGACTGACTATGGAGGCATTTGCTGATTAGCAACATGCCCCCTTGACTTGACTGAGGACTATTCCCCTCCGGCTCTGAGCTGGGTTAAAGCAAATGTAGCATCTTGGCTATCTTAGCTGCTGGCACATGCTGTAAATGCGACATTGATGTAACACTGTGCCCTAAACCAACATGTTTGCACCTCTTGACTGAATACTCCTGACAATGAGAATAAGCCATTTATTTGCATCTACACGAAAAGGCAAGGCAAGACACAAATATTGTGAGGCTCTATGTTCAGAATAATGCAGCAACATGCAAAAAAGCAAGTTTGAGACTCTGTGAGAAACCAAGTCAGCACAAACTGACTGTGTGCTAAAAGAGCAAGCTATGAGTCTTGACATGAGGTGCATCCTGTTCCAATGCATGAGATGAGTGCATTTCCCTGAGCTAAGCAGTCTCGCAACAGCCTTGCAATGTAAGGTTTCAGTGAACTCCAAAGAGTAGTATTGAAGTGGTAAACTGTATTTTAAATAAGTCAGAGATACGCCACAAGGATGTGGTGAGGCTGATGTATGATATAAACATTCTTGGATGAAGGGTACACATGGTCATTGCAAGCCCCGAAATGTTCGAGAATGCTGGCCAACATAGCAAGCTGGAGGAGTAAGTGGTGAATTGAACTTGCCAGGTACCTGTTCAGATTTTCATGTTAGGAACAGATGCTATCTACTTTCTTTTTGCCCAGGAAAATAGCAAACTGTATACAAATAAGGTGAGAATGAGATGTTAATGCAAGCAAATTGGTGTCTCACTACTCTTTAGAAAGAAACTAGTTTTTCGATCTTGCTGCATTTTTTCAACTGACTTACTGTTGCCCGCTTTGTTCAGGGTCTGGGAAGATTCCCCTCCATACCTTTATAAAGTCTTTATCTCCTTTATTCAGTAATAATAAACTTGCCTTACAAGGAGTGTAACTGGAGTTCATTATGCTGATTGCTGGGATGAGAGGATTGTATAGATTGAGCCTATGAAAAATGATTTTTTTAACTCAAATAGTTGTGAATCTTTGAAAATGTCTACGTAAGCATGCTATAGGCACTCATCTGGCAAGTAAATTCAAAGCAGAGATCACTAGAATTTTGAATACCAGGGGAAGTAAGGATTGTCAGGACAATGCAGGAAGATGGTTTTGATGTCAAAGATCAGCCATGATAGCAGTGAATGGAAGAGTAACATCTCATCTGAAAAAACAGATGCAAATGCAAAACAAAAATAGAAATTGCTGGTGAAAATCAGCAGGTCTGGCAGCATCTGTGGGAAGAAAGCAGAGTTAATGCTTTGAGTCTGGTGACTCTTCATCAGAATTTTTAGCAGCTGGGGGAAAAGTTGAGGGGGGGTGGATTCTGGGTATGTGGAGAAGAGATGAGTGGATAGGTGAAGATGGAGCCCAAAAAGAGAAATATGAAAGGGGTAGGTAAATAAAGAGATAATGCATAGCAGGCAGGACAAAAGTAAAGCTGAACAGGTGATAATAAGAGCTAAGAATAGGAGAGAATGGGTGAGCTGTACCAAAATCAACCCATATAATGAGATAATAGGCCTAGGAGTTAAGTGAGGATGGTGACCTGTGCCAAAAGCAACCCATGTCCCAACAGCACTGGGTATGGGGATTGGTGAAAAACACTGAAGGATGGAATCAGACTGTAAAGTTATTAAATTCAATGTTTAGTCCTAGAGGCTGCAGGAAATGGAAAATTAGAGGACATTTTTTTGCATTTGCGCTGAGCTTCACTGGAGCACTGCAGCAAGCGTGAGACAGATATTGGCCAGGGTACAAGGTGTTATGTTGAAGTGGCAGGCATCTTTAAGCTTGGGGTCATTTTTGTGGGCAGAACGTAGATGATGTGTAACTTGCCCAGTCTGTGTTTTGTCTCCTCAATGTAGGGGAGACTACATTGTGAGCAGTGAATATAGCAGACTAAATTGAAGAACTACAAGTAAATCACTACTTCACCTGGAAGCTGTGTCTAGAGTCTTGGATGGTGAGGAGGAAGGAGGTAAACTGACAGGTATTACACCATCTGCAATTGCATGGGAAGGTGCCACTGGGGTTTAGGGATGGTTTTTAGAGAGCAGGAGGAGTGGACCAGAGTGTCCCAGAGGCACGATCCTTGCAGAATGCTGATGAGGGGAGGCGAATAGGTGTCTGGTGGCACATTCCGTTGGAGGTGATGGAAATGACAGTTAATGATCCTTTGGATGTAGAGGCTGGTGGGGTGGTAAGTGATGAAATGGGGAACCCTATCATTGTTGTGAGAGGGAAGCGAAGGGGAGAGAGCAGAAGTACAGAAGATGGGTTGAATACAGCTAAGGGCCCTGTTGACCATGGTAGTGGGGAATCCTCGGTTGAGGGAAAAGGTGGACACTTCTGAGGTCCCCTGAAGTAGGTGGCATCATCAGAACAAATGCAACAGAGATGGAGAAACTGGCAGGAAGCCAGTGTGTGAGGATGTATAGTCTAGGTAACTGTAGGAGTCAGTGGGTTTGTAATGGATATTGGCAGCCAGTCTATCCCCAGAAACAGAAACAGAAACAGAGATGTCCAGGAAGGGAAGAGAGGAGTCGGAGATGAACCAGGTGAATATGAGGGCTGGGCAGAAATGGAAGCAAAATTGATAAATTTTTCCAATTACCAGAATAAGACAGGGAAGTAACACCTTGACCTTATGGAAGTTTATAAAATCACGAGGGGCATGGATAGGATGAATAATCAAGGTCTTTTCCCCAGGATAGGGGAGTTCAAAACTAGAAGGCATAGGTTTAAGTTGAGAGGGAGAAGATTTAAAAGGGACCTAAGGGGCAACTTTTTCATGCAGAGAGTGGTGCGTGTATGTAATGAGCTGCCAGAGAAAGTGGTGGAGGCTGGTACAATTACATTTAAAAGGCATCTAGATGTGTACATGAGTAGGAGGGGTTTAGAGGGATATAGGCCAAATACTGGCAAATGGGATTAGATTCATTTCTTGACCTGAAGAAAGTGAGAGGACTTAAAGGAGAAGATATTCAAAGTGAGAACGAGCTGAATCAGGTGGAGGAGGGTGATAGAGAATGGGGACAGTTCAGGCCTTTTCTTCAGGAAGAAGTGGAGAGTCCTGAGACCACCTTTGGGGGATGGATGTGTAAAGGGACTGCACATCCAAAGTAAATAGGAGGTGGCTGGAGCCGCTAACAGGAAATTCTGAAACTGATGAAAAGCATCAAAAGAATCTCAGATGTAAGTGGAGAAGGACTGGGCAAGGGGAGAAAAAATACAGTCGAGGTAGGAAGAAATAAGTTCTGTGAGGCAGGAACAGGCAGAAATAATGGGTCTGCCTTGACAGAAGTTAGAAGTGGGTTACCGTTATGGAGATGTACAGCATGGAAACAGACTCTTCGGTCCAAGTGGTCCATGCTGACCAAATATCCTAAATCGATCTAGTCCCATTTGGCAGCATTTGGCCCATATCCATCTAAATGCTTGTTATTCATATACCTATCCAGATGTCTTTTAAATGTTGTAACTGTTCCACCTCCATCACTTCCTCTGGCAGCTTATTCCATACATGCACGGCCCTTTGTGTGAAAATTTGTCTATTAGGTCACTCTTAAATCTTTCCCCTCTCATCTTAAACCTATGCCCTCTAGTATGGACTCCCCTAACCCTGGTAAAAAAAAAAATCTTGACTATTCATTCTATCCATGCCTCTCAAGATTTTATAAACTTTTATAGAGTCCCCCATGCAGCCTCCAACGAGCCAGGGAAAATAGCCCCAACCTATTCAGCCTCTCCCTATAGCTCAAACCCTCCAACCCTGGCAACATCCTTGTAAATCTTTTCTGAACCCTTTTAAGTTTCACAACATCTTTTCTATGGCAGGGAGACCAGAACCGAATGCAGTATTCCAGAAGTGGCCTAACCAATGTCCTATACAGCTACAATATGATCTCCCAACTCCTATGCTCAATGCTCTGACCAATAAAGGCAGGGGTACCAAACACTTTCTTCACTACCTTATCTACCTGCAACTCCACCTTCAAGGAACTATGAACCTGCACTCCAAGGTCTATTTGTTTGGCAACATCCACCAGGAACATACCATTAAGTGTGCCCTGATTTGCATGACCAAAGTTGTTTCTGGGTTGGAAAACTTTGAGCTGGGAGGCTGTTGCAGACAGAACTTCAGATGAGAGAAGGTTGGTGAAAGTCGCCAACAATGCAAAAATTTGCTCAATATGCGGAAGTACCAGCTTAGATTCTCGATTCAATTCTCTGGATTGGGGTCATTGCTGTAAAAGGAGGGCATGTCCTGTCTCCTACCCCACCCACCCAAACTCAACATCATTGTGCTAGTATGCTCTGTGGGGAAGTATGTTTCATATTACTGGGAAAGCCAAACTTGTAAGATTTGGCAAGTAATATGAAGTGGCTTAAAGACAGTGGCAAGCTCAAGCAAGCGACAATTAGGTGAAGACTTAGGCTACTGAGAACATGAACTATCAACTAGAGAAAATTGCAATAAATGAATATTTGGAATGAGGCATTGTTTTATTATTTGCTTCAGAATACAGTACATTACAACAGATGGTTCTCATTACTCTGTGCACAGTGCTGGTCTAGATACATATTCCACATCATACAATATTTGATTTCAATATCACGTCATGTTTACCACACTCTGGTTTCAGATATTACTGCTCGTCTTTAACCTCAGTTTCTAACAATATCATAATGCACTATGAAAATAATATATAACTGTTAAAACATATGCAACAAAATGCATTTTTTGAAGTTCCCCACTACCTACAACACATTTTCACTTAAACTAAAACTTGCCACAATAGCTCTATGCAGCTAAAACTTAAAATTACCATTAAAATGTTACTGATTTTTAAACAATGTTTTGTGTATTAAAAAAAAAACTTTCCAGTTAACAGTAACTTTGGTTTCAGCAGCATTTTTCAGAGTTCATATAAGACTTTATACTCAAACTCCACTTGGTTTCTTGAGAATGGCACTGAACTTCAGGGCTGTGCTGTCTGACTTTAAGACAATGTCCACCAGTGCAAAGATGGTTATTACCTAAACGACAAAGTTCATTGCAAAGTCAACAAGGGTTGCTCAGTAAATAAAGTGTAGGTGCCATTATAAATACATTTGTTTTAATTGCAGTAATCTTTCACAAATGATAATTATCTTATGCAATAAAAAAGAAAATGTGTGGACCTTGAACACGACTTGTAAAAGTTCATTAAGTGCACTCAGATTGTAACTCTGTGAACTCAGCATAATTAAATTAACCACCCAAAGAGATTACCATTTTTCGTTTAATTCAGATAATTTAAATGTGACACCGTAAGACTGTTCAAGAAAAATGGAAGAAGGAAAACAGGGGACTACAGGCCAGCTGGCTTGGCATCTGTTGTCAGGATATTGCTGGAATCGATTTATCAGTATTTTCAGGTTTATAGCTCATAAGGTAGAAGGGAATCAGTAATATAATATCCTGTACTTGGATTTCCAAAAAGGTGCTGCACAAAAAGGCTAATTCACAAGACAAGGGCACATGCTGTAGAATAACATATTAGCATTGATATGGGAGTGGTTAACTGACAGGAAGCTGAGTGTAAGGATAAATGAGGCATTTTCAGATTGGAAGGCCAGCATTTTTCCTAACATCACAAATTATAATTTATACTAATGACTTAGATAAAGAGATGAAAAGTAAATTATTTAAATTTTCTGATGAAGCAAAGCTTGTTGGGAAGCTATGTTGGGAATGCTGGTGTGGTGGATGGGCAGCTAGTTGACAGATGGAGTATAATGAGGGGAAGAATGAGGTTATTCGCTTTGTTTGTAAGAAGAGAAAAGTAGAGTATTAACTGTGGATGTTCACAGAGTCTTGGGCGTACTAAGTCAGTATATAGGCACAGCAGGTAATTCGGAAGGCAAATGGGATGTTGGCGTCCATTGTAAAAGGATTATAGTACAAGAAGAAAGGAGTCTTGTTACAATTATACCGGACTTTGGTGAGACTACAATAGTGTTTGGTTTTGTCTTTATATTTAAGGAAGGATAGTTCTGCATTGGAGATGGTACAGCAAAAGTTCATTAGATCTTAGTTCAAGGCAGGTACCCAAGATGAGAGGGTTGCTTTATGATGAGGAGTTGACTGAATTGGGCCCATACTCCTGAAGTTCAGAGGAATGAGAATTGATGTAATTGAAACTCACATGATTTTAAAGGGGATTGGTATGGTAGACATTGAGAAGCTATTCATCTAACTGATAAATCTAGAAGATAGGGCACCGTCTCAGGATAAGCGACCGAACATTTAGGACGGATAGGTGGAGAAAATTCTTTACTCAAAGGGTTGTGGAATTTTGGACTTTTCTAACTCAGAGGATTGTGGAAGCTTTATTCTTCATTATGTTTAAGATTAATATGTAGATTTTTGGCCCCTCAAGGAATCATGAACTACGAGACCCAGGTGAGATAGTGGATTTGAAGCAGAAGGACAGCCATAATCATCTATAAATGGTGAAATAGGTTCAGGAGACCATATTGTTTCTTTCTGCGCCTACTTCTTCTGTTTCCATTTTCACCCTTCTCAACAAAATTCAGAGAATGCAATTATGTCTATAATACTCTCTTAAAAAGCAATAAAATAGAAAAGACATTTTCAGACCTAGTGACAAAATAATTTCAATAATTCAACAGATATTTTTTGCTCGTAACAGAGCCCATAAACAAATACCTGATAAATTGGCTTCTGGTCCAATGTCTCTGGTTCCCACATCAATCTTAGTTCAGGCTTCTTTCCTACTTTGTGAAAAGTAAATTCTTGGAGAGGAAGGCCCTACAGCAAAGGCAAAGGAGGAGGTGGATACTTAACATTAACTGAATGGAAGAAAAATTTTGGCAGCTGAAATGAAGAAAAAAGTGTACACAATGAAATGATTTATGTTTATGCAAAATGTTTCCACACATTTCAAAGTTGAAAGTCAGGCTTACAACTTCATTTGGAGGAAAATGTTTCCCATGCACATTTAACCTTTCCACAGGTTGTACTTAGTTGCTTAAATCACTTGTAAGATCTTTTGGATGGATAACAGCCTTGTGAGATTCCAATACGGAAATTTTTATTCATAACACTTATAAGTTACCATAGCAATATGCATCCACATTTCACCAACATAAACTGACTTAAAACATTTTAAAACCTTCAGTGCTGACTAAGCAGAGCAATAGAGTTTTAAAAATATCAATTTTATTCTTCAAGTAAATTTACGATATGAATTCAGAGCAATACACAAATTTCCCCAAAGTATTAGCAGTGATTTTCAGATTGAAAACAGAGCACTTCCAGATTTGGGAACACACTTAATCTTCCGACTATTAGTATCAATTGAAAACTTAAATGTATTCATACAACTGCAATTAAAGTTCCCAATATATCTCATTATATGAAGTACTCATTCTCAACAGTGCAAATTACAGAGGAGACAGCTATAAAAATTCAGCAAGTCCCTCTGAATGAACTTCTCACAAGACATTATCCAGATTGCAAATGAGGCTAATTCAACATCATGCTACAACACTGGTACATACCTACAGGTAGCTTGATGGAGTGTTTAGCAGAGCATACCAATGGATTAAAGACTATTTTGGCTACACTCATTTAATATGTTATCCTGGTGCTTAACTTGACAGAAATAAAATTGTATAAGGATTAAAAAGTCAAAGAAAAGTCATCTTCTAAATTGACATTGGGTTTATGCTACAACAATTTGAACTAATAATTCAATGCCATATAAAACTTAATTTCTTAAAATTCTTAACCAGCACTTAAAAAATAAAAGCAGCTTTCTGAAATAAATCCACAGTGGACTGAGATTGATGGAGATTGTTTAATTTACAGAAAAAAATAGAACCAATTATGCATAGCTGCATTACTAAATTTCCAACAGCATTCTCACAAATTGCTTTCATCTTCCATGTTTGAAAAATCAAACCCTATTTCATCAAATGATACATAATAAAATAGATTTCTGTTGCAGATTCACCCACAGTTTTTTTTGTTGGCACTTTGAATTTTGATGGAGCAGCAAGCTGTGATGACACATCTGAAGATCCATGAGAAACAAGTCTTGCTACCACAGCATCATAGGCATTCTACAATGAATTTCATTGACAGCACCATATGAAGAGAAAGTATATTTCCTGGATAGCAGCTGGAATGCATCAGAATCCATTACACATCAAAAATACATTACTGCCACCTGATAGTACGGCCATAGCCGGTCAGGCTGACAGATGTTGTACCAGTAGTGTGCTTTAACTTATGAAACTATACTAACTTCATAAATGACCTAAACATCCAATGCATGGTACTGTCATATACAAACAGGAGTAGGATATTCAGCCCATCGAGCCTGCTCTGCAATATACCATCACGACCGATTGAACTCTTAAGTATGTTTATCCCACGTTATCCCGAGACTCCGTCTGCCGTTGATAATCAAAAATTTAATCAACCACTATTTTAAATATACTCAAAGACAGAGCTATCACAGCCCTCTGTGGTACAGAATTCAAAAGATTAACCACCATTGGTGTAAAAAACAATTCTCCTAATTTTAGTCCCAGATAGCATTTCCCTTATTTTAAATTGTGCATTGTGGTTCTATATTCCTCAAACAGTGGAAACATCTACCTTATTTATCACTTCATGTATTTTGTAGGTTTCAATTAGATCACCTCTCATTTGTCAAAACTGTACAGAATACAGGCCCAATTTGCCCAATCTCTCTTAATTTCCATCCTACCATCCCAGGAACATGTTTGGTGAAACTTCATTGTACTGCCTCTTTGACAATATCATTCCTGAGATAAGGAAACCAAAATTGAACAAAGTATAACAATCGAAAGAACTGCGGATGCTGTAAATCAGGAACAAAAACAGAAGCCGGTGGAAAAGCTCAGCAGGTGTGGCAGCATCTGTGAAGAAAAAAATCAGAGTTAATGTTTCGGGTCAGGTGACCTTTCCTCAGAATTGAACAGGGTAGCTCAGGTATGATCGAACTAAAGGTCCTTTAGAATTGAAGCAAGACTTCACTCCTCCTGTATTGAAATCCTCTTATGATAAAGTTTAACATTCCATTAACTTTCCTAAAAGCTTGCTGCACCTGCTGTTAGCCTCCAGTGACTTATTGACAAGGACCTCAAGTCCCTTTGCATATCTACACTTTCCAACCTCTCACCATTTAAGACATACTTTGCATATCTGTTCTTCCTATCAAAGTGAATAACCTCACATTATTCCAAATTTGGTCCCAACATCCAAATTGTTGAACAAAAACAAAGTTGCTGGAAAAGCTCAGCAGGTCTGGCAGCATCTGTGGAGGAGAAAACAGAGTTAACGTTTCAGGTCCGGTGACCCTTCCTCAGAACTGATGGTGGCTGGAAAATGTCAGTTTATATGCAGAAAATAGGGAGGTGGGTGGGGTAGGGGGTAAACGATAAGATAGAGCCCAAAGAGAGAGAAAGACAGTTGGACAGACAAAGGAGTTGCTAACGATCAGGCTGGGAGGGTGAATAGTTGTTAATGGGGACTGTTAGTGACTAACAACAGGGGGTGTGTAGTGGCAGGCTATATGGTAACAAGACCTGGTGTGTGGGGTGGGGGGCTGGGACATGGGAGAGTTTAGGTCCTAAAATTATTGAACTGGAGGGCTGTAGGGTCCCCAAGCGGAAAATGAGGTGTTGTTCCTCCAGCTTGCATTGGGCTTCACTGGAACACTGTAGCAAGGCAGAGACAGAGATGTTGACCAGAGAGCAGGGTGGTGCATTGAAATGACAGGCAACACGTAGTTCAGGGTCTTTTTTGTGAGCAGAATGTAGATGTTCTGTGAAGTGGTTGCCAAGTCTACGCTTCGTTTCCCCAGTGTAGCAGACTCTATATGCATATAAACTGACGTTTTCCCAGCCACCATCGGTTCTGAGGAAGGGTCACCGGTCCTGAAACGTTAACTCTGTTTTCTCCTCCACAGATGCTGCCAGACCTACTGAGCTTTTCCAGCAACTTTGTTTTTGTTCCTGATTTATAGCATCCGCAGTTCTTTTGGTTTTTATCCAAATTGTTGATACATATGAACAACTGGGGCCTTGCTGTACTCTAATACCAATGTGAGAAAGGCCCATTTGTTCTGACTCTTCGTTTTCTGTCTGTTAGCCAATCCTTAATTCATGCCAACACATTACTTCCTGTTCTATATGCTTCAATTTTTCTAAGCAACCTCCAGCGGGGGACTTCATCAAAAGCTTTCTGAAAGTCATGCTTTTTCCTTTGCTCCTTTCGCAAATGGCAAGCTGACATTTACAGGCATCCAATCTGTAGGAATTATTCCAGAGATTATTGAATTTTAGCCCCATTAATTTCTCCTGTACAATCTTCTTACTGATACCAATTTCCTTCAACTCCTCATTCTCTCTAGTCACTTGGATCTTTAAATCTGGAATGTTTCTTGTATCTTCAGTGAAATCAGGGATATGTTAGCTCATTTGCCATTTCTCTATTCCGTTATTAATTCTCCTGACTCTTTTTAATGGATTCCATTCTCCTTCACCAAACATTTCCTTTTTAGATCCTTGTAGTTGCTTTTACATCCAATTTGTATGTGGTTTTGCTAGATTGCATTCATAATTTGTTCTTCCTTTCCCTATCAGTTTCTTGGTCCTCTGCTGTATTCTAAAAATTTCCCAATCCTCAGATCTAGTACTATTTCTGGCCACTTTATAAGACTTTTCTTTTAATCTTATACAATACTTAAAATTTGTTAGTCACATCTGACTGGCATTTCTGAGTTTGTAAATCTTGAAAGAATGTATAGTTGGTGTAACCCACGTAATAATATTTTAAAGACTATCCATTGCCTATGTACAGTCATACTTTTTAAAGCATTTTCCTAAACCAGCTCAACCAACTTGTGACTGATGTATTCAGAATCTCCTTTTTTCAAATTTAACACTCTTGCTTTAGACTGAACTACTTCATTAAAAATGTAAAATTCTAAGGTAAAGTGAAGATAAAATCGTCATAGTTCCCAGAGGACCAGAGGGCTGGTCTCTCATTAGAAAGAGATGACTAGTGGTGCGTTTGACCTGAGGATCATGAAGGGGTAAGGTTTGAGAAGGCAGGACAGTCATGTTAACCTCAACTAGTGTGAGAATTAAACCCCCATTCTTGGAATCGCTCTGTGTCGCAAAGTACATTGGTAACCGATCTCTGCCAATATCACAGAAGTTTTGTTATATATCGTGAAATCATAACTCAGTGAAAATTTTGTGGATCCAAATTGTGATTTATTTCTTTCTTCTAAGATCACTAATGTTTTAAACAAATTGTCAATCTTTACAGGACAAGTCTCTGGTTTATGACCAGAGTAGGGTAAAAAATCTACTTGTAAATAAGGGTTTATGAGGAATTCAGCAATAAAATGTTATTAAGTACAGGCTGTCTATTGCACTATTCTTCAGCTTCAGCACATCCCAATGATCTAAGGTGATCGCTTGGGGCAACTGAACAGCCACCACAGAGTCACAATTATATGATGAGTCTCAGAACAGACTATTCTGAACAACAAAAATCATGTTAGCAACTCACCTTAGCAACAGATT